CCCCTGTTTGAATAATTTCTTGGAATTTTACAGAGAGTGGGGGAAAATTATCCGCAAACCAATCGAAGTTGGGGGCGGTCAAAATGTCAGGAAGTTGGTTGCACAATTCACTGGGATTTATCTGTGAAAGAAAAGAGTTAACGAGAAAGTGAAAAAAATCATCGAATCAACATTGATTCAACGTCCGGATGTTGAATCAACATTGAATCAATGTTGTTCCAATGTTATATACAATTAAGGTTGAAGCGGGCAATTCTAACTCATGGATCTTTCTACGTCTTAATCAGGCAGGAATTTAATTTTTTTTTCAATCCTGGAATTAGGAAGTCTGGCGGGGGGATACGAGTGACTAACTCTAAATTTAGTGTTTTTCATTTGGGGTCAATTTAGTTTCGTTGGGTTCGATGGGCCAAGATGAACTACGTGTTCTCTTCTCAGTTTTATGCTTATTTTTTCCATAAAAGGCTTCGTGGAGATTTTTGCTTAAGATGTCTGATTTATACCTTGCTGGAGCAATTCTTTTCTCATGTTAGCTCACCAGGTCCAATTTATTTTCAATAAAATATACATGGTTATTGTAGCATTCATGGGGTAACTTATTAAGCACCAATAATGTATCCGTCCGGAGGGGCGAAATTCCGTCGTTGGCGATGGTTGAATCGCCTGGAAACGAGGGGATCTACCGGATTGGAAATCCCCAAGACGTTCAAAAACATATACAGTCCGCTACGGTATGCAGTTGAAATTTTATTCATTGTGCCAGTCTGCCTTGAACAGTATTGGTATCAAACAGGAAGTGTCCGAGTCGGCCGCGACGGGATCGCATGGACAATGCATCTGGCAGATTGGTTCACTGGGAAGCGACGAGCTTCAATTGCGAAATGAAAAGAGAACCGTCAAGAGTTGAGTTTGACACAGGAATTGGTAGCTGGAAATATGAAAAATGATTAATTTTTTAATGTCGTAAGTGAAAGCAAACGAGAGCCATCCTTCACGGGAAATGCCCCCTAAACGCCCGATCGTAATTGAAGACTTTCCTTACGTGAATTATAAAATTAACTCCTCCAATGCTCGTTAACCGCAGTCCAACGTCAACTGCGCGCAAATAGCACACAACAGCGCACAATAATAGCAATAGTTGCATCAGTGCAGATCACGCATTGTGAGCGCGAATGGCGTTCCATAACCAAGCCAACAACAAATTGCTACCTGAATGCTCTTCGTCTGGGTCTCTTCCTACGGTGAACTATCCCATTATGCAGCTTTATTCGAGGTATGCATGGCATTTTCTGGAAATAAAGCAGGTATATCGCATCGTTCTCAGTTCAAAAATCCTCCCTTAATGAACTTTCGGACGCACTTCTATGAATTGCTGTGCAAAATTATCAACAACAAGTCGGTTTAAATCGACGATCGATTCCCGATGCCGCTACTTCATTCTTCATTCTCCTGCAGGCTGCGATCATGATCGGTTTCTCGGGTTTGGTGGTTCCGTTCCTCCTGGTCATGGAGGAAGTCACGTGGAAGGGGTTAGTCAGCTTCTACATGGAAAAGCAGATCACGTCCCTGGATGCCGTCCTGGATCCGTCCAATTCCTTCGCCCAGCGGCGAGGCAACCGCGTCGACAGGGCACTTGGGAAGGACGTCGTTCCGGAGTCCTCAGACCTTCATTCCTCGCGTGAGAACTCTATGCAAGAGAATTTCGACGTTTTCCTTTCACCGTAAAATCGAGCAGGAGTCTCTTCGGTCTAGAGTTGCCCAGATGTGAAGTTTTCAGGTCTGCACGCGCAGGAGTCTATCTTCGAAGCGAATCATCGGGGATTTCTCCTCCAACAGCAGTCAGTCAACCTACTTCATAGGAGTAAAACCTGCAATCCCACAAGAGAACATACGCTAATGCTTAAACTTGAAATTCCTCTCATTTCCACGTCCACAGCTCCATGAGCATTGGTAAATGGGTCTATGGCCTGAGCGGTTGAGGATCACCTTACTACGGCATTGAAAGCGGACTCGAAGTCATTTTACAATCCGTCAGGAATATATTATACGTTGACACTTTCTTCTTTTGTTTTGTTTATTACTGCTCCTGGCATTTTCTTCGTCTTATAGTTAAAATAAGTTATGCTAGGAGGCGAATTATTACATTTCTGCATTCGTAAAGTCTCAGAGCCTCTCAAGTACTTCCAATTCATTCTTTTTCTTCCATTTTGATATTTTTTGCAAAGAGAGGAGATGGGAGAAATGCTACCCTCCGTACGGGTGCTTCTCCACGGACTACCCGTGGACATCCCCAGAAAGACCAGTGGCTGCACACCCTGAACCTCCGGAGGTCATCCGACCAGTCTTCTGTCTTTACACTCGCCGAAATCCCAAAGACTGCTACGTACGGCGACTCTCCTTTTTCCTTTCATGGAAGAACGAACCTCCTGATGAATCTCCATGAAGGAGGTGGGGGGGGGGGGGGGGGGGGGAAAGGAGACAAAAAAA